ACAGCGGCCACCCCGAAAAAGAGAAGCACGATTGCTGCCCATCTTGTTCCGGAAAAACGTCGACCAAGAAATAACATCATAAATATGGCTGTGGTAAAGACCTTCAGCTGAGTAGTTACCTAAATTACGATCATTTGTAGCAAAACTTGCATAAATTGAGGCACTACGTCTACTTTGTCTTCTTCTATCGTTCGACTACAATTGCATCTGCTAAAGACTTCTCAAAAACAAACCTGATACAATCCAGCATCTAGGTTGGAGAGCGCAACGAAGTCTAAGTTGTTTTGCAATGCGTAAGCGAGAGAAGGAACACTCATTTTTAAAAGTTCCCTTGGAGCGTTCAGATAATGTTGCTTGATACACTAAACAAAGTTGAAGTTTCTAAAACTCTTCAGACGAACATCTGGATATAACAGAAACAATTGTGGAATTTTTGAGGAGGAACAAAATGACGTAACAAATAGGGAGGTAGCAAACTGACAATTCTAAACCAAAAATGGGGATATGGTAAAACGCAGTAGTCAAGAAAAAGATAACACATTAAAAACTCAGTGCGAGTCAAGTTTCTAAACAATGAATTTTGAGAGTTTTGTTGGTGTGGTAAGTAATGAAGTTCAAACCCACCAAGGAAAACTCCTTCACTCTAAAGTGGCTCTCTTTGTAAAGCATCAAAAGCGTAATGCAGGCTTTGACGACCTCCGACATAAGCACAACAGTGGTCGCAGCGTAAAGCTAAACTATAGATTAGGTATAAGTGCAACCATAGAGAACGCTAAGAATAGTTCCGTTCGAATGAATAATTGTCGAATAAAATCAATCAGAAAGCTGTCAGCCGTCCCCATTACATCAACACTACTTTTTGGCTCTAACTAACTATATCACTTTTACGATGTATTGAGCTCCAAATTTGAGCGAGTATAAGAAATCAACTCCGTTTATGAAGGCGCAAAACTGATAACGCTCATCTTTTTCTATTTCCAATTGCTTGGCTCACCTTATTCTCAACAAAAAAAGATTGCAACAGACCTCGGTCTTCGGCACACTAGTTCTTGTGTACCGGACTGTGATTGTGTATCCCGTCCATAGAAACGTCATCGTTATGATCACATATGCTTTGAACAGCATTTCACGGTGACTATTTCCTTCTAAAGAGATAATGCTTCAAAGAGAATAAGCAGCACTGCACTGTTTTTCAAAAATCATTTAGCTGTTCGTTCGGCCCATTCCAATCGATCCGCTCATTTTTTGAACATTTACTTTTGAGGAAAGGAAAAGACAAGTTCTAGACAGCATTTACTTTTGAGCGAAGAAAGCGCGATAATAAATTTCAGAGCATGCATTACTTCCATAAAGATTCCAACCACATCTAGAAGCCTCGACTTTCGACTTCCTATTAGAGTAAATGACAACGAACAACGAGATTTGTGATCCGAAACCTAACCTAGAAGTTACATTAAAATCACCATGGCTCCTAGATGTCGCAAATCGCTGTAACCATTTGCGAAGTCGTGGAATTTGAATGGAATATTAAGACTACGTCATAAGACGTAATTATCCCTGATTTCAGTCTTCAACCTCAATTGGCGGATTATGGCAACCTCAAAGCCGCTTTAGATTGCAAAATCCGTTATTCGTTATTGATGCAGGGTCTTCTTCTTCTTTGGCTTAGATCACAGATTTCGAACATGGATAAGACGGGTTGCGCATTGCGAACATTTGTAGAGAGGTAAATCATAGCAGGAATGATTAAAATAGCGGGAATCAGATTGTTTCACAGGTAAAAATGACTTCTCAATGTTTGAAAAGTTTCAAAGTAGGTATATTTTACATAACGCAAAAATAACATTCTATAACATATGCACTAGCATAAATTATCCGCTAAGGTGTCGCGGGACACAGCTATCGGATTCACATGCGCATAAGCCGTGTTAAGATGGCAAAAAAGTTTGTCAAATTTTGAACTTCACCAATTCGAACAAAATCTGTATAGAGAGGAACTCAAATTTACCCCTGCTAACCTGTTACAGCCAAAGTCTAAAACATAAAAGTCCTATTGCCTCTAGGTCAGATGCTGCCCAACTTTAAAAGTATAGAAAAGTACAAGAGAGGACTTGAACAATGTTTTACATTATTTAGAAGATCCCCCAGTAAAAATCCATTAGAGCAAAATTAGACGCTCTCACAATATGATTTTCCAAATTACCATATCTACTCTTCTACCTTTCGCATTTACAAGAAATTCTCTAATTCCTGAAATTAAATGGAATTCTCCAATTCTAATGAATATATATTCAATTACAACAAAGCAGGGGCCACAGAGCGGGCGATTTGGTATTTGAACAGTATGCAAAATGCATATCTCGAATTGAAATTAGTACTCAATGATGGACGTTCATTGTGGAGATGAAGCTTTCATGATAAGGTGACAAATGATAAATGAAGTTTTGGCAACTTACGGACTAAGATACCTAATCAAAAGGGCTATCTTAAACAATAAAAAGCTTATCACGCGGATGTGTTGTTTTCCATTAAAATGTTCGCATATTAACCGTTAAAACTTTGTTTGCTAATTCAACTTATTCTACCAAGTAACTACCCTGTTCAAACGGGTACGCATAAAGACCGACTTCGCATAAACCATGCTCCCATGTGTAAGGTCGATTTTGCCTTGCTTGCGTTGAATTCTTCCTCCCCTCCTTTCTTATACATTTTATATGTACTTTTTAAGAATTTCTCATAAAACTGTTCAATGCACCGAAATCCCACTATTTCATTATTCATACGACTTCCTCCCCCTCCCCTCCCTCCTTTTCCCTTCTCTTTCTCATCTTCCATTATTTCTCATAAAATGGTTTGATTTCACATCAAATAAATCAGGAAAATTACTTTTACCGTTCTCCTTCAAAAAACTAGCTCCAATACTTATTCTAAGGAGTCGAATGTCACAAGATCAACTACTGACCCACCCAGAACACAGATAATCACAACTCGCTTCACTGCTTGCCCAAGCAAAGGCCCTAATGTGGAGAGCCGACGGGCAACAACCCTATTAGTACTTCTCAAATTCTAGCGGAAATGATGTAAAGATACAGACTATCCTCTGATTCTCCTTTCGCATGCGCGCTTTATTACAAGGCTCAGCGGAATGAATGAGCTTCAGTAATAGTGGGCCAGATTTAAAAGAAAAAAAATCATAAGAAGGAGATGTATAAGATACCTTTAATGATGTCGCTTTCCGAGATTTTGACGGGAAGAAGAGTTTCCTTCGCCTCATCTTTATCAACGCCCATGTAGGCTAGCGTTGATCTAAAAATCTACAATATTTCGATGAGAGAATGTAACATAGCAAAATAGATAGGACGACGCACTTCCCACTAGAATACAGCTAAGAACCAAACAAGGATAAAATGAAAACACGAATTTCTAGATAAAAGTTGGCTTCCTTGATAACAAAACTTATTCCACTGAACCTACAAGATTAAACTTAAGGAGTAGGAAAAATCTAAAGCAATACAGTGAACGTAATGATATGATATGTCAATGAACCTTTCTCGACTAAACGCACAACGCTTTTGAAACCTACGTATCTTTTCCTTTCCCTTCGCAAAGGATAGAGAAAAAAAGAAATTAGCGTCAACGAACAAAAGACTCAATTCGTGGAATGGATAGCACCTACTTAAGATATTCGCTTA